GTGTAGTCTAGTCTATAGTTTAGTCTATAGTCTAGTCTTTAGTTTAGTCTATAGTCTAGTCTATAGTCTAGTCTATAGTCTAGTCTATAGTCTAGTCTATAGTCTAGTCTATAGTCTAGTCTATAGTCTATAGTCTAGTCTATAGTCTATAGTCTAGTCTATAGTCTAGTCTATAGTCTAGTCTATAGTCTAGTCTATAGTCTAGTCTATAGTCTAGTCTATAGTCTAGTCTATAGTCTAGTCTATAGTCTAGTCTATAGTCTAGTCTATAGTCTAGTCTATAGTCTAGTCTATAGTCTAGTCTATAGTCTAGTCTATAGTCTAGTCTATAGTCTAGTCTATAGTCTAGTCTATAGTCTAGTCTATAGTCTAGTCTATAGTCTAGTCTATAGTCTAGTCTAGTCTAGTCTAGTCTAGTCTATAGTAGTTATGTCTAGTCTAGTTAGTTATAGTCTAGTTATAGTCTAGTCTATAGTCTAGTCTATAGTCTAGTCTAAGTCTAGTCTATAGTCTTAGTTCTATAGTCTAGTCTATAGTCTAGTCTATAGTCTAGTCTATAGTCTAGTCTATAGTCTAGTCTATAGTCTAGTCTATAGTCTAGTCTATAGTCTAGTCTATAGTTAGTCTATAGTCTAGTCTATAGTCTAGTCTATAGTCTAGTCTATAGTCTAGTCTATAGTCTAGTCATATAGTCTAGTCTATAGTCTAGTCTATAGTCTAGTCTATAGTTGTCTATAGTCTAGTCTATAGTCTAGTCTATAGTAGTCTATAGTCTGTTATAGTCTAGTCTATAGTCTAGTCTCTAAGTCTAGTCTATAGTCTAGTCTAAGTCTAGTCTATAGTCTAGTCTATAGCTAGTATAGTCTAGTCTTAGTCTAGTCTATAGTCTAGTCTATAGTCTAGTCTATAGTCTAGTCTATAGTCTAGTCTATAGTCTAGTCTATAGTCTAGTCTGTAGTCTAGTCTGTATTTTAGTCTATTGTCTAGTCTAGTGTAGTCTATAGTCTAGTCTATAGTTTAGTCTAGTCTATAGTTTAGTCTAGTCTATAGTTTAGTCTAGTCTATAGTTTAGTCTTTAGTTTATTCTATAGACCAGTCTATAGTCTAGTCTATAGACGAAACTTCAAAAATAAACAACAACCATTAGCTACATAGTAAGATGCACCAATTTGCTCTCATTTAAAACATTCCCTTCTTGATTATCTCTGACCTAATATTAGATATCAGATGACCGCGCAAAAGCACAATTAATGTTGATCTTTTCTAATTGTCTCAAGAGCTTTCACTAAGATCCTCATGATCTATGTATACCACTGAACACCATTTATAGTTTCAAAGAATTGAAGGAGGAATAAACTGGGTATCACAATGAGCTTCACTTCTAGTGACTGTCCTCTACAAGAGAGGAGGTTTGTGTGATCTTTAGATCTGTATTTAAAAAGCAATTAAATCAAATTAGAAGCTTTTCAAATTTGTCCCGAATCTTTTAAAGCTGAGTTATAGTTCTTTAAAGACTTTGTGGCAATTTTATCTTAAAATCATAAAATTTTAGGTAATTATATCTTAAAGAAAGGACAAGTTATAATAGAGGTTAAACCTAGAATGCCTCGAAAATCGGGTTTCAGAGCGTTTTTAAACAAAGAGAGAATAATTATATCTTTCTACGACACTTGAAGATTCAAAATTAAGACGTATAAAATGTTTTAATTTAAACTTTCAGATTTAATCTTTTTATTTTAATGGAATTCGACCAGTACAATAAACAATAAGGTGGGGCTCTGCAGTTTAACCATAAACAAATTTCTGCAAAAGTAGGTATAACAATTTAATTGTAGAAACTCCATGTTGCGTTATTATGGCAACATAAAAAACACTTAATATTATTAAAAACATACATAATATTATGAGTTTTCTTTCTATTTATTACGTTGTCAATGTTACAACTTAAATAATAATAAATACAACTCGTTACCATTCAGCAAAAATAATTAAAAAAAACAAAAACAATTGCACAAATAAACAAATTATATCAACAACAAGTAAGCACTATAAAAGAGATAAAAAAACAACAAAAGTTCAAATGTCAACATAACTTGTACTTTACATTACTTACCTTTTCTTTTTTTTCCTTTCTTTACATTTGTGCAAAACGCATGAAATTCCAAATAAACAAACAAAACAACAATTTTAAGCAAGTGTTTAGAAAAACAGCAACAATTTAATACAAGTGTACATACACAACAACAACAACTAATTCATATAAATAATAATGAATGATATATGAGAAATAAAACTCACTTAAACAACAACATTAAATCAAGTTTATTTAGTTTGTTTACATTAAAGTTTAAAATAGAAGAATTTACAACGAAAGACTTAAGCAGCAAACACTTTGTTTTGATATTTTAGTTACTTTTGCTGTTATTGTTGTTGCTTTTATTTTTCTTGATGTTCTTTCTGATTATATGCAAAAAAATCCACACACTCTCATATTATACATTCTACTCAGGAATTATAACTGTTTTTAGCTATTTTTTTTCAGAAAACAATTTTCATTTCACCACATATTGTTAAAAGCAGGGAAAATCCATACTAAATTGAGAATGTTAAACATTAATTAATTGCAATTTGTTTTGTTACATTAAAATTTTTAATAACATTAGTTTTTATATTATACTTTGTTATTATTTATATTAGTTTTTCGTTTAATTTTAAATATTTTTCAGGCCCCTTTACTCTTTTTTTTTGCAAATGACACACAAAGTTTCACATTATCTTTAGAAACTATTTTTTTATTAAATGTTCTGGTTTTTCTTTTTGTTGCAATTTTTGCAAATTAAATTTAGACTTCACACACTTGTTTTATTAGAAACAATGTTAAATAGACATCTGCATGCTAAATTATGCGCGCCTCTTTAAAAACTATTCAAAGTGCACTCACACAAGAAAAATACACAAAAGTAATTTTAATTTGTAATTTTATTTCTAAGTTTATTCGTTTCTTGAGCCGCTCCCGATTTTCTCGTTGTTTATCCGTTAAAGGGGTTTCGCTAGCAACTGAAGGGAAGGGGAGGGGAGGGAGGGAGGGAAAACAGAAGGAAAGAGCGGCCAGAGGGAGCGGGGGGAAAAGGGGGAAAACGGGAACAGAGGGGGAGGCGGGAGACGAAAGGGAAGGGAAAAGGAACGAAGGGAACGAACGAACGAACGAACGAACGAACGAACGAACGAACGAACGAACGAACGAAAGACGAACGAACGAACGAACGAACGAACGAACGAACGAACGAACGAACGAACGAACGAACGAACGAACGAACGAACGAACGAAGAACGAACGAACGAAACGAACGAACGAACGAACGAACAAAGAACGAACGAACGAACGAACGAACGAACGAAACGAACGAACGAACGAAAACGAACGAACGAACGAACGAACGAACGAACGAACGAACGAACGAACGAACGAACGAACGAACGAACGAACGAACGAACGAAACGAACGAACGAACGAACGAACGAACGACGAACGAAACGAACGAACGAACGAAACGAACGAACGAACGAACGAACGAACGAACGAACGAACGAACGAACGAAAACGAACGAAACGAACGAACGAACGAACGAACGAACGAACGAACGAAACGAACGAACGAAACGAACGAACGAACGAACGAACGAACGAACGAACGAACGAACGAACGAACGAACGAACGAAACGAACGAAAAACGAACGAACGAACGAACGAACGAACGAACGAACGAAAGAACGAACGAACGAACGAACGAACAAACGAACGAAACGAACGAACGAACGAACGAACGAACGAACGAACGAACAACGAACGAACGAACGAACGAAGAACGAACGAACGAAGAACGAACGAACGAACGAACGAACGAACGAACGAACGAACGACAACGAACGAACGAACGAACGAACGAACGAAACGAACGAACGAACAACGAAACGAACGAACGAACGAAACGAACGAACGAACAAGAACGAAGAACGAACGAACAAACGCGAACGAACGAACGAAACGAAACGAACGAACGAACGAACGAACGAACGAACGAACGAACGAACGAAACGAAGAACGAACGAACGAACGAACGAACGAACGAACGAACGAACGAACGAAACGAAAGAACGAACGAACGAACGAACGAACGAACGAACGAACGAAAACGAACGAACGAACGAACGAACGAACGAACGAACAACGAACGAACGAAGAACGAACGAACGAAACGAACGAACGAAAACACGAACGAACGAACGAAAACGAAAGAACGAACGAAAGAACGAACGAACGAACGAACGAACTAACACGAAAAACGAACAACGAACAAACGAACGAACGAACGAAACGAACGAACGAACGAACGAATAACTAACGAACGAACGAACTAACTACGAACTAACGAACGAACGAACGAACGAACAACGAAGAACGAACGAACGAACGAAAAAGAACGAACAACGAACGAACGAAATAAGAACGAACAACTAAACTAACTAACTAACGAACGAACTACTAACTAACTAACGAACTAAACTAACTAGAACGAACTAACTAACCTAACTAACTAACAAACAAATAACTAACTAACTAACGAACTAACTAACTAACTAACTAACTAACTAACTAACAAATACTTACTAATAACTAACTAACTCCAAACTAACTACTACTAACAAACAACACTAACTAACTAACTTTGGGATTTATCCACAAAAATATGCAAAAATATTCACATTACCCACATTCGAGCAGCAGAACATTGCTTTTTATATTAAGTTCCGATTTTAATGACTTTTTAAAAAATTTATATTTTTAAACTTATTCCTTCCGAAATCCCAGTTTTAATCACTCAGATTTCGTTTTTATTAAATACCGTTGAAATATTTTAAAAACAAAGTGAAAACTTTGTCGGTTTGCAATCGATTTTAAGCCGCCACCGAATTTTTTAGAGTCAGCCGCCGTCCTTAATGTTTGTCGTCGCAGGGCTCTGATCATTGAATTTGACGTTGCATGGCGAATTCTTTTGACCACGGAAAATAATATTTTGGAAATGGATAATTTCAATAAAAAAGAAATCATACAGGCAATTCTAATTGCCGACAACAATGTGGAGAATTTCCGCCCTTTGTCCGACACAAATTCAACGGTAAGTTGTTAACAAGCTGATGGTAAAACCGTGACAGTTTTACAATTTTCCAGGCTCTTCTACCTTTGGTGAATGTTACTATGCTGGATTATGCCCTGGAGGCTTTGAACCGTAGTGGCATCGAAGAGGTATTCGTGTTTACCAGTTTGTATTTACAAAATGTGAGGGATCACATAGAGTAAGTAGAAGAAAATTGTCTGCACAAAATGTGATTTGCTAATGAGTTTAGTTGTTGATGTGTTCGTTAGGAAAGGAATTGCATCATTGTATTCTTGGTCGGTTAATATGAAAGTTCATGTGATCGGAGGCGAAGGCTGTAGATGTTTTGGTGATGCTATGCGTGAGTTGGATGCCAAAGCTTTGATACGTGGTAATTTTGTGCTTTTGGGAGCCGATACAGTAACAAATGCCGATTTGAGACCCATATTTGAACAACACAAGTAAGTAGTTGGAAAATTTATAATAAGTTGAAGAATTAATTTTATATTTTTGTAGAAAAACTGTAAAATATGATAAAGGTGCAGCAGCTACCCTTATTTTTAAAGAGGCCGAACATCATTTAAGATCTGGTAATGAAATTATGATTGCAATGGATGTTCAAAACAATCGTTTGCATCATCATCAACGTTTGAGTGTAAATGATAAGGAAACTCATTTCGATATACCTTTGGAAGTGTTCATGCTCAATTCTCAAGTGGCTTTACTGCATAATCTGCTCGATCCTCAAATTGCTATTGGTTCGCCCTCCATGTTGTCTTTGTTTTCGGATAATTTCGATTTTGAGACACGTGATGATTTCGTAAGAGGCATATTGATTAATGAGGAAATCTTAGATAGCCGCATCTATGTTTCTCTCCTGCCTCGCGAACAATATGCCCGCAAGGTTAACAATTGGCTGACTTATCAGATAGTAAGCAATGACATCATAAATCGTTGGTCTTATCCTTTAGTACCCGATATGGGTATTGTGGATTTGAAACAGCAGTATATTTTCCTAAAGAATAATATCTACAAAAGTCCCACGGCCAGTTTGGCTAAAGTAACGTTAGGCGAAAATGTGGTGGTACACAAGAATAGTGTAGTAGGAGCCGGCTCAACATTGACTTGTTCTGTAGTGGGACAAAATGTTAAAGTTGGACAAAATTGCCGTATTGTTAATGCATTTCTGTTGGACAATGTGGTAGTAGAGGATAATTGCTGTTTGGAATTTTGCGTTGTTGGCCAAAATACAGTGGTGAAAGCCAACACAGAACTGAAAGAAGGCTGTGTAGTGGGAGAGGGTTGTGTGCTGCCTGCTAAAACAAACCTAACAAAATCTTTGGTTAAAAATAAAGCAGAAGGTAAGTTAAAGATTTAATCATAATGCATTCCTTTATTTAAATTAATCTTTTTTAGATTCTTCTTTAAGAAAACTAGGCGACAAAGCCTTTGTAATAGACGACAAAGTGGACAACCGAACAATATCTGAAAATGAAGATGATCGAGATATATTTACGGTTAAAACAGTCGCACCCAAAATGATGAAATTACCGCTAACACAAGAAGAAAGTGATTACTTTTCCAGCAGTGATGAGGAAGATTCACAACCTTGTTCACCTCTACCCGATGATACTAATAGTGAGTTATTTGAGAAAAATCATATGATTTTTATTAATTTTGATATTTCTTACAGTTTTCCTATCGGAAGTAGTGGATTCTTTGTCCAGAGGTTTCCAAGAGAAATCTAATCCCGATTTTCTTATACTCGAAATTAACTCCTCACGCTATGCCTACAATATGTCCCTTAAAGAAGTCAATTTTAATGTCGTCAAAGCTATTTTCAGTTTGCCCGCCATTAAGGAGCCATCAAATAACAATGTTTTAGTGGCGATTAACGCCGTGTTAAAGCAATTGGGTCCTGTCATGACAAACTATATTAAAAGTGAAGATGCTATGTTGGATTGCCTGAAAGCTTTAGAGGTTCGTTTTGTTTAGTTTCCATTAAATGAAAAATCATTTATATTTTTTCCCCATTTACAGGATATTTATGAAGAAAACGAATTTGTTCGTGAGAAAATTTCTCAAATTGTTCATTATTTATACGATAAAGACTTTGTAACGGAAGAAGCAGTTTTATCATGGTATGAAGATTTAGATGAAGAGGATCATGCCACCTTACGTAAAAGTCTGTTTAAACTAATCGAATGGCTACAGCAATCATCTGATGAGGATGAAGATGATGATAGTGATTAGGTCTATTCTTTCGTTTAAGTCGTGTTTATTATAATCTACGAAATGTTTTCTTTTTAATTTTTTAATTTAAAAATTAAAGAATAAAACAACAGAAAATAGTGTTTTTTATTTGGTCCAGTTTAGTTATTACTTATTAATTTTACGTCAATATTTTGGTAAAAAAATAAGTTTTTAAGAGAAATTTTTAAAATAAGTTTTTTTTTTGTAGAAATTTTGATTTTTAGTGAAAATTCAGCTTTTTAATGAAAAAAGTTGTTGTTTTATAAAATTAATAATTTTATAAAAAAATTTTTGATGAAAAATTTCCAAGAAAAATTTGCAATTTTCTGTGAAAAATGATTTTTTTTGAAATATTTAATATTTAGTGCAAATTCTGATTGTTTGCTAAAAAACCAATTTTCGTAAAAATTTAGATTCGTGGTGAAAAGATGGATCTTGGTTGAATTTTTGGTGAAAAATTAAAATTTTAGTGAACATTTTGATTGTTATAAAAAAATAATTTTTAGCTAAAATTTTGATTTTTATTAAAAATGGATTTTTGCTATAAACTTGGAAGTTAGGTGAATTCTGAATTTGTCTGTTATTTGGGAGAAACTTTTCTATAGTAAATCAGGTTTGGGACAAACTTTTCTATGGAATACTGTGTTTGGGACACTATTTTCTATAGAAAATCTTGTTTGGGACACTATTTTCTATAGAAAATCTTGTTTGGGACAAAATTTTCTATAGAAAATCTTGTTTGGAACAAACTTTTCTGTAGAAAACTTATTGATAATAAAACTGTGTTTGGGACAAACTTGTCTATAGAAAACTACGTCTGGGACAAACTTTTCTATAGAAAAAAGTTGTTGGGAAAAACTTTTCTATAAAAAAAACCTTTTTAAGACAAACTTTTATATAGAAAAATATGTTTGGGACAGACTTTTCTACAGATGAACGTGTTCGGGACAAACTTTTCTATAGAAAAATGTGTTTGGGACAAACTTATTTATAGAAAAATGTGTTTGGAACAAACTTTTCTACAGAAAAATGTGCTTGGACAACATTTTATATCTAAAATTAAGTTTGGGATAAGTTTGTCACCGTTGATGTTATTGAAAAAGAGACGATTAAAATCCCTAAACATTTATTAACCAAATAATAATTATTTTTTATTTATTTTTGAAACGTACTTAATAAACAAGTATTTTTAATAATTATTAAATATAAGATGAAAATTATAAGTAAAAAAATAAAAGAAAATCAATTGCATATAAAAAACCAGCCGTTTAACGGTCCATAGCTCCAGCTGCTCCACCGCCAATATGAGACGAAGTAATGGCATTAGCCGAACCACTGGTATTCATCATGCTCTGTCCTATGCCACAGCGTATATGATGCAAATGTATTTGAACATGTTTTTGAAAGGTTTCCACATTAACGCTATTCAAACTGGAACGCACCTCCTCAATGCAACCCTCCAATACTTTATTGACTTGAGCTGAATTCTCAGTGCTAAGATGCGAGGCCACAATTAAAACAGTGGCCAATTTCTTAATTAAGCCCAAAATGTTTTTATTCACTAATAAGCCTTGATTGTTACGTTGTACGGCATCTTCGGCCGATTCACGGCATTTTTCGCGTAAATATGAAGGTGTTAGCATGGCTCGCACCTGAGGATCAGGCGTTAGTTCACCAGCAAAGACTTGCACTTCGTTAAGATAGTCCTGTATGTCACGATTCATTTTCTCCATAGATATTACTATGGAAGCATAACGTCTTTGGAATTCCTCATTTAATTGTGGTGTATTTGTATCACCAGCCGAGTTGGTGGCGGTAGCGACGGCATTTTGACTATCATCCGAGGAATTTGAGGCGTTTGAATTGTTATGAGCAGCTAATAGCTGTTGAGAGGCTTTAAGTTCCGCTTCATTGTTCATATCATTGAGACGCTGTAGCTTGGATTTCTTACTGGCCAAAGCTCGTTTCAAACGCACCAATGTTTCCAATAATTTTGGTGGATAACCATTAATGTTTTCCTCTCTGAGTACGGGATTCTTAAAGGGACTGTCTATGACTTCTTGACCCAACAAAGGATCACTTTTATTCAAATTCATATTGAAAGTATTACGCATACGTGCTGCCCTCAAAGGAGACATGATATTGGTATTGCACGAGCTATTGCCACCATTGTAAACAGATGATAGACTGGGACGAAAGTCTTTGGTAATGCTTTGTAATGGCAGCATTTCGTTAAAGTTTTCCGAGACTATTTCATAATCCGGTATTGAGTGGGTACCCAAACCATTGCGATCGAAAGTAACTCTGTAGGTAGAGCTCACAGAATCAAAGGCATCAACAGTGCCGCTAAATATACCATCTTGTGGTACGCGTAAACGTGCGGTTACCTTGGTGCCTAAAGGCAGCGGCAAAGGTATCTTCTCTGGCAAATCTCTTACAAAATTTAAATCTTTAATGTCCCCTGAACGGCAACGTGTTTGCATATAACGCATTTTTTGGCGTTTCCTCTCCAGCTCACGCCTTTCTTCATCGAAAAAGGCTTGTGAACAACGCCGGGGTTTGCCCATTAAAGAACGTATCTTTTGCCATTCAAGTCGGGTCATTTGACGCGTGCGTAAATGAGGAAATGATTCCGCTAGACACACTTGAAAATCATTCTCACCCTCAAACAAAGGTTTATCTATAAACGAATAGAACCACTCGAATATCACCCATTTATGGGCCTTGGGTAATTTTAACAAATTACGCAAGCGTAAACCAATACGTTGTCCAATTCTCTTATCGGCGGGTATAATAGAAGCCGCATTTGCATGTGAGCTGGGGGTATTATTGCTACTCTTCATCCCCGACTTGGGAGTGGTATTAGCCGAAACATTACCAGATGTTTTGGTGGGCGTGGTATATCTCTGTTGCATGGTCAACTTGCCATCTTCGGAACGCATGTATCTGGACACGACACCTTTGCGTTTCTTCAAAATTTTCGTGGGCGTCTTATTGGGTGAAATATTTTTCATTACTCCACCCGCTTTACGCGGTGAAAGACTCATTCTTAGAGGTTTATCATCGTTGATAATGTCATCATCGAAAAACAGACGATTACGTTTGCGTATTCTAGCCGGCATTCCGCGGGCATTAAGCATTTGTATTGGTTGTTGGGGTTGCGGTTTTGGTGGAGGAGCGGTACCTACTCTTTGTAGCCCCAATGTTGCCAAACTAAATGATGGTGGTGGTTCTTCAGTTTCATCATCTGATATTGGCGGCGATGAATCTTTTCTATTTGCTTTACTGTTAGAGGGTTCTTCTTCGGTTGCTTCCATTTCTTCCTGTTCTTCGGTGTTAGTTTTTGGATTATCCTCGTCGTCGTGCATTTTCAAGGATAACTGCTGTTTAGCGGAGATGAATGAAGGGAAATTTTAATGTTATTGTTAATAATAAAAGTTTAGAATTTAGGCTTTTGGTTTTAATAAATTGTGCATGTCTATTACCTTCGGGTGAAAAATTTAGTATGAAGTATATTAAAAGAGCTTTTTCATAAGAAACAAAAAAAAGGTTTTTTCATTAACAAAAATTTCAAGGTTTTTTTCACAAATGAGCTTTTTCACAAAATGGTTTTTTTCACATTTTTTTTTTATAAAAAGCTTTTTCCTCAATGAAAAAGATTTTTTATTAAAAAGTTTTCTTATGTTTTTTCAGTAATAAAGCTTTTCTACTAAAAAAAATATAAACTTAAAGGTATACTAAAATCAGTTTATTGAAAAAAGAGCTTTTTCATAAGACAAAATATAAGAAATATGTTTATAGTAAAAAAGCTTTTTTTGTAACAAAAAAAAAAAAAAACATTTTATGGAAAAGAACCTTTTTTATTAAAAATTACAAGAAAAAGCTTTTCTTCAATTTTTTTATAAAAAAATTGTTGTGAAAAAAGCTTTTATCATAAAAAAATATAGAAATAGGATTTTTTTCAATAAAAAAGCTTTATTATTAAAAAAGTTTTTCCACCAAAAAAAGCTTTTTTGTGATTTTTCCATTTCACTTTAAAAAAATAAATAAATTTTATAAATGAGCTTTTTCACAAAAAAACTTTTTTTCAAATTTTTTTTATATATATTTTTTTTTAAAGCTTTTAATTCAATATGAAAGCTTTTCGACTAAAACAAATATAAATTTGAAAGCATACTAAACCGGTTTATTGACAAAAAAGTGCTTTTTCATAAGAAAATCTATGAGAAATATGTTTTTGTGAAAAAAAGCTTTTTTCGTAAAAAGCATTTTACAGAAATTACACTTTTTCATTCAAAAAATTGTTTCAAAATTTTTCATATTTTTTTTTTTCATTAAAAAAATAAAGCTTTCTCATTAAAAAAAAGTTTTTTCATCAAAAAAGCTTTTTTCCTAAATTTTTCTTTTTTAACAAAAATTAATGTTTACCACTTTATCTTAAAATATTGCTGCGTCAGAGCTTTTTTCACAAATGAGCTTTTTCACAAAAAAGTTTTTTTTACATGTTATTACAAAAAATGTGATTTGAAAAATTTTTCATATTTTTTTTCATTAAAAAAATAAAGCTTTCTTATTAAAAAAAAAAAAAGATTTTTCATCAAAAAAGCATTTTTTCTAAATTTTTCTTTTTTAACAAAAATTAATGTTTACCACTTTATCTTAAAATATTGCTGCGTCAGAGCTATTTTCACAAATGAGCTTTTTCAAAAAAAAGTTTTTTTTACATGTTATTACAAAAAATTTGATTTGAAAACAAATATATAGAAATCAACTTTGATGTTAAAAAAATTACAAGAAAAGCTTTTTTCACAAATAAGCTTTTTCAAAAAAAGTTTTTTTTTTCAAATTTTATCATAAAAAATTTGGCTTAAAAAAGCTTCTATCATACAAATATATAGAAATCAACTTTTTTCAATGAAAGAAAGCTTTTTTCGTAAAATTTCCTTTTAACTTTTTTAATACATAATTAGAAATTTCTACCACTTTATCTTGAAATATTGCTGCGCTATTTTAAATATTTTAAAATAAAAATCCTTACTGTGATGTTAAACAAAGTCTTGAAATTAAACACAATTTTATATTTCGTTTATATTGTTTTTTTATAATTTATAATTAATACTTTTTACTTTATTTTCATTTCAAAATTGTATTTTGTTCTCCTCTTTATTGTCTTTTTTTCGGAGGAGAAGCAGAAACATTTAACATAAGCACATGTACAATAGTTTTATTTTAATTAATTGCAACAATTTCGGTTAAATTTCTGTTATAGTTTTTTTGATAAATTTATTACAATTATGTTTTTTTTTATCGTAGTTGTTAATTATTTGTATTATGTACTTAAATTGTGTAAGTGTGTTTGTTTATATATGAATAGTGTTGGTTTTTCTTTCATTATTGTTTTAATTCTTCATTGTTTAACAGACTTTATTTTAAAAGCCCCTAATTAAAATATCAATGTTTAAATGTGTGTTTGGATTATTATATTATAAATATAGTACATATACATAGATTTTCATTTTAAAACGTTGAAATTTTTATTTGTCTAATATGAAAAATACAATTATAATAATTAGTAGCATAAAGAGGGGGGAAAAAACAAACGTTATTACATATTTTTTTATATTTTTTTTTTTTCAAAGAGGGAGGAGGCTCCATTTTATGGAATTATAATTAAAAGTATAAATTACAAAGAAACAACAATTTTCTAGTATATAAAGGAGCAAAAAAAAAAAAATAAGAAATAAAATACATAAATAACAACAAAAGAGTTTGGAAAACCTTTAATTGTTAAAAATAGAAATAAGTTAAGTTTTGTGTATAATATTTGGTATATAAAAAACACAATACTTTTAATATATTTTAAGTGGTATTAATAGAATAGTTGCAATTTAGTTTTCTTTTATACACTTACTATACAATTGAATAAAAATTAATAGTTTAGTTAATTTAAATCTAAAGTTTTTTTTTGATATTTTTTATAATTTTTGTTTAAAGGATAATAGTTGTGTTTTGTTGCTATCAATGAGTGTTAACGCTTAAAGTTAGCAACAAAACGAACATTACCTGACTTGGCATCACTCCACAGAAGAAATCTGCTAAATCTTGAAATTATTTACATTTTCTTAAAAAAGGTTTTTTATTTGATATTTTTTTTGATTTAAATTTTATTTTAAAATATTTTTTTATTGTTTGACATAAACACATTAATATTTGTATTTTTATTTTTGAATTGGTAGCACTTTTATCGACGTTAAAATTAACTTGTATAATTTTACACGTTAACTCCTAACGTTTATAAATTTTAAATTTATATGAAATTGCCTTTGAACGTTAGCAACAAAACACAACTAATATAATAATAATAATTAAGAAATAAAACAATTAATTTATAACAATGTTAATTTTTTTTATAATTTTTATATAACAAATATCATTTTTATAACAGTTTTAAAGTTTAAATTTTCTAACAATTATAATTCATTTATATAGTTTTTGGGAGGATTATTTAAGTTGTAATTAAAAGTTTAAAGATAACTGTTATTTGTTAGAAAATTTATAAAAAAAGAATTTGTTTTATTAATATTTAAAAAAGCTTGTAAAAGAAAAGCTTTAAAAATAAAACTAAGTTATTAAATTAAAAACGTTTTTGTTCACCTTTTTATATTAAAAAGCTCTTTCTGTTTGAAGATGATAAGTAATATTGAATTTTTTCACTGAAAAAAGCTCTCTTCTATCAAAAAAAGTTTTTATTTAAAAGTTTTTTTTTTCACTACAAATTTTTTTTCTAAAAACGCGTTTTCATTGATAAAGCTTTCTTTTCTTAAAAAAAAAACTTTTTATTAAGCTTTTTTCACTATAAAAATTTTTTCTCTAAAAAATATTTGCTCTCAAAAATGCTTTTGCTATAAAAAGCTTTTTTATAATTTTTTTAATAAAAAAGCTTTTTCTTAAAAAAATATTTAATAATATGAAAAACGTTTTTTTCAGTAAAAAATAATTTTTTAAATAATTTTTTGTTTTATTTTGAAAACGTTTTTCATTATAAAAGCTTTTTAGTGAAAAACTTTCTCTAAACATTTGACTAAATAAGTTTTCTAAACAACTAAGCTTTATTAAAAAACTTTTCATGGAAATTAAAAAAGGCTTTTATTAAAAATCTAAAAAACCTAGTTTACTTAAAAAATAATTTCTCTAGAAAAGCTTTTTACCAAAAACTCGTTTTTACTATAAAGTTTTTTCCAAAAGAACACATTCACAAAAAAACGTTTATTTTTAGAAAAAACATCGTACTTCAGTGAAAATATGTAATGCTTGTATTAAAAAACTTTTTTAAAAAGCTTTTTTTTAATTATAAAAGCTTTTCGCTTAAAAAACTTTTTCTATACTTATAAGCTTCTTTAAATCATTAAAAAAACTTCCTAAGAAATATTTTTCTAAAAAACAATACTAGAAAAAAGCTTTTTCAAAAAAACTTTTTACAAAAGGCTTTATTTATATAAAAAACATAGCTTACTACAAACAAATAACAATTCTCTTTAAACTTTAAATAACTTAAAAAACCCTTAAAAAGTTATTATAATTATTTAATAATGTGATTTTAAATTTATTAAATAATTTAATGTTGTTTTTTTATTATTTCACTAAATTACTATATTCTTGCTTAAATTTTGTTTTTTTTATTGATTATACTAATGATTGCCAAATATATTTTATATGATCGGCATTAAAAAAACAATTATTAATAATAAAAACAAAAAAAAAATAATTAAAAATTGAATTCGACGACGGACGACCTGTCTAGTTCAATTTTTTATTATAATTAATTAATTAAATAATGTAAAATGTTTTGTTATTGTATATAGTTTGTTTGTATTTTTAAAAATATTACATATTTTTGTGGTTTGTTGGTGTTTTCAATGCCATTAAAAACAAAATCAATCAAGTTTTAATAATTTTCGAAATTACTTACAGCATTAAAATAAGAGAAAAAAGGAAGAAGGAAGGGAACAAATATTTAACATGAATTTTTAATTATAATCGTAAATGTATTTTCTTTTATTTTATATAATATTTCGTGTATTAATTGTTTATAGCTGTAATGTCGTTTCATACAATACCTACTTTCTGTTATTAAACTTTCTACTTTAGTTATACTTTTTAAGAAACGTCTTTAATACCTTAGGGTAAACTAAACTTAATGTGGGGTGAGTGATCATTTATTTTCATTCCTTATAATTGATCTAGACATTAAAACGCGTTTCTGAACCATCGGCCAACATTAGCGTAACGGTGCGATTGTTTATCCATACTAGCTTGGCTAAACGCATGGGATTAAGTCGTGATACATCGGGTATGGGCGCTGTAGAGTAACCTTTGGTACATCTGGTTTGCGATTGTCCCAGGCCGAACATACCGGTACTGGTTTGCCAGAAGGACAAACGATTTTCGTTGCAAGAATACGACACTAGATATTTGCCATCGGGAGAGAAGGCCAGCGATGTTATAGGATGTGTATGAGCTGGTATCATTTGACATTTGTTTTGTCTTAGCTCGTATATGGCTAAATGACCATTGCTGGCACCTACGGCTATACGTCTGGACTGTGGACAATGTGATATTTGATTGAAGCGACATATTGATGGACAAACATCGGCTAAACCCTTTGTTTTCAACTCCACATTGTCTACACAATGCAAAGTGATATCCATAACTTCCACCAATAAACTGGCGATTTCAGCTTGCATTTTATCTATTAACATTTCTACGCATTGGAGTATCTCACCCTTGGCTTTGTAGAGGACAGATTGTGTAAGTGGTACATTAATGGATTGTGGATTTTGTTGCATACTATTATAACGTGCCACCTCACGAGCCATTGTTGTTATAAAGGCGGCTGGACGAGCAGTGGCTATTAAACGTAAGGCATGTCGTGCAGTACGACAAGCATCGGCTTGTGGTGTTAAAGGAAGTTTATAGTTCAAATTGGGTACAGATTTGCCCTCACAAGCCAATTCCAACAGTCCCAGTAACACTTTACTGACATCCAAATAGGGTTCCCAAACGGTAAAACCGCGTCCCAATAAATCTATAGCAGCCCGTCGAAGAGGGGTATATTGAGGCAACTTTGGTGAAGGTGGGGCATAGAGAAGATGAGCCAAAGCCATTGATGTTAAACGTGCCAAATTGTTAGCTATACCAAAACCTTCTACAACAGAAGATTTACGACGTTCTGCCACACTACCACCGGCCGAAGTTCTACTTGGGGAATCTTGGTTAATATCTTGACCAAATTCAGCACCTATTACACCCAACAGTATAACGGCTGTAGTTTGTTTTCGCTTCAATTCGGATAAACTGGACGGCTTGCGTATGATTTCTTCTTCCTCTTCTTCATAGTCTTCACCGCCATTGTCGACTTCACTTACAGCTGAACCACCAGAAGTATTATGGCCATTGGCGCCATTTGTGTTTTGCACATGCTGTTGAGCGATTGGTTCTGTGTGCGTATACATGGGTAGATATTGAGCCCAGCTTTCAACCAACTGTTTGCGTCCACGCTTGCCCATACGTCTGAGTTCTCCTAAGAGAATTTGCTGAGCTGCTTCACGTATTTCTATGCAATGATGTTGCCAGCGTTTGGCCATCATTTCCACCTGAGGTCGTTTGAATTTCTTTGGTTCTAAGGCTTCGATTTTATCGGGCAATAGGAAACAATGATGAGTGGATAAAAGACTCCAGCCTTGTTTTATTTGCGATATATGATGAGCCAATAGGTCTTCATGTTGTTCTTCGGTTGTGAGCGTAGAATCACTGCGCTGAGCCAGACGCATTAGTTTTTTGCTTCTTTCGCTGTCGGGCAAAAATGAGGCCGAATTCATGGAGAGCAAAGTGTTGGACATGGCCACCAAAGCCAATATATGATTGGATGTTAGGGTGGTGCTCAATTCCCAGTGCAAGCGTGAAGTAAACACTGCAGTTAGTTCTTCTTGTCTTAGTAATTCGGCTGGAATGTCACGTTTCTTTGAGCTGCTAGGAGCTACCACTTTCATGCCCTCGGGTATTTCAAAGTTATTCTGCCAAGTGGGCAGCAATAGCGACATGTAGCCTCCTTTGGATAGTATGCCAAATGAGACGGGCACCATTGGTCTTAAGAGACCCAATTGCGATTCACACACTTTGTCTAGGTGAGGATCCAAACCCCAGGAATGCAGCAAAGATAAGAGTAGCTGAGCCACCTCCATGACTTTGGTAACTTCCATTTTGGAGGCAATTTTACTTTTCAAGTCTGTATTTTCGCTGTCCTGTTCTTGTGGTTCTACCACCACCTTCTGTAGACTCTCCTGTACCTTGGCCTGCACCTTTTTCTCCACAATTTCAGTTTTTTCTTTGAATTTTTGCACAAAACCATGTTTATCTTTATCCTTTAGTATTTTTTCCATGTCGCCGGCCTTGTTTTTGACCTTACCAAAGAAATCGCTGATTTTCTTGGAAGCCTCCAAGTGCAAAGTTTTATCTTTTTGGTTGTTGAGAACCACACCCAAAGCCTCCAACTCACTGGGAGTCATTTGTGCATATTCTTCGCTGTGTAGCTCAAATATCAAACCCTCTATATCGAAGAACAGTATATGACTTTCAGCATCTTTTGGGTTGGTGCGCAGTCCTTGTATTATCAAGGGATTGCTGCGGTGTTTCATAAGAAAATCAAAGTTGCCTTGATTGTGACCGTGGAGCTGTTGCCATTGGGTAATGCCGCGTTGGGTTGCATGACGTATGGCATTCATATTGCGCGATTTAAGACCACGAAAGAAGTGTACCGCTGGATTGGCCATGCCCATTTCAGCATTAGAAGAGGCTGGACTACAAGAGGTATCATCGGCCACTTGTTCATCGCATACCATTAATACTTCTTCGGCCAACATGCCGTGTAAAACACGATCCAAGTGACCAGTTTCCATTTGCCACACATACACCGAACCATCAGAACAACCTACTATAAGAAAGTCATCTAAAGGACGCCATTTAATGGTTACCACTGGGAACAAATGACGACTGGCCAATGTCACACATTTACGCTCTTGCAAACTGAGCAACGTGACCGAATGATCCGATGCTACAGAACAAATGCACTTTAGAATACGTGAGCTGCAAGTTTCCGGTGGCACTAAAAGTTGTGTGATTTCTCCGGCATGTACACAGAAGCGATGCAGTAAACTGCCACTATATAAATCCCACAGACAAACAGCAAAATCTACACCTCCAGACAGTAAATAAGACTTCTCATAACGTGGATGCACCAATGAGGGGCACAACAGACAATTAACACGACCCCTGTGGCCATATAGGATCTGGTGTGAAGGCCAATCGCTAAAATTTTGCTTAATACCTACAAGTAGCTGCATCATTACTGTCTGTGTGGCGGGCACTATGACTATTGAGCCATCCTCACGACCAATAACCAAACGACTTTGTTGGGGTAAATAAATGCTGGAAGTTAATTTTACGGGGTGATCGGTGATACGGGCCAACTGGTCCAATATGCCCACGGGAGGGGGATCCATCATGGACCAAGCTTCCACTAGTGAGGTACAAACGGAGGGTTTGAGAACACGCGGAGGCATTTGTTTCGCTTGCAATAT